GATCCTCTATTGCCCGGGGGCCCCATGAGTTGTCAGTCCGCCCCTGGTTAGGAACCTTAGATTGTTCACCCTTCGAGGGTTAGGGACTGATGTGAATGTACAATATATATGTAAAGCACTGCGTAAATTGACAGCACTATAAAGTACCTGAAATAAATAAAAATGAATAAATAATACAGCTTCTATGACTGGAGGAGGTGGGCAGCATGGGCATGGGCAAAGCAAGTGTCTATGACAAATGAAGTGGCTCATATTAAACCCGAATAACACCAGAAGATCACCACTGCAGGGGTATGGAGGAGGCAGAGAATGGATGATTTCAACTAGGAGAGCAGCCACCAGCACAAAGGACACTTCCCATTTAATGTAAGTACCACTCCTTGTGTACGCACCCCCAACCTGGAGATGCAAAATCACGTATATAAACATGATTTTGCACATCCCTGCCACCCTGTAGCAGTATATCTGCTATAGGGCGGCGGGGATGGGATTAATCCGCTGTCAGCTTAAAACAGGTCAAAGGAATGCAGAACGAGCTGCACTCCTGTGATCCACAGTACAAGTACAGCCAAATGTGGGCAACACAGTGGCTAAATGGTTAGGACTTCTGCCTGGCAGTACTAGGGTCGTTGGTTTGATTACATGGCACTGCCTGCCTGGAGTTTGCATATATTCTCCCTGTGTCTGCATGGGTTTCCTCCAGGTACTCCAGCTTCCTCCCACACTCCAAAGACATGCTGGTAGTAAATTGACAGCAGTGATACCGGGTGACACCTACTGCACGGGGTGACACAGGACCCGCTCCACGCAAAGGTAAGTTGTAAAGCAAGCAAACAATCCCCGCAGGATGGATCGGATCTGTGGATTGGGGAGCATAATGGATTGGACTCCAAGCCATTATGCTGAATCCGCAGATCCGAACCATCCTGCGGGGATCATCAGCATGCAACCTATACGGGGTGACACCGGACCAGCTCCACAAAAAGTAAGTTGTAAAGAAAGCTGACGATCCCCAAGGATGGATCAGATCTGCGGATTGGAGAGCATAATGGATTGGGGTCCGATCCATTATGCTCAATCTGCAGATCCGATCCATTCTGCGGGAATCGTCGGAGGGGGTGTCACCAAGTGTTATAGTACCGGGTGACACCAACCCTAGGGACGCCCCTGATTGACGGTGCTATATAAGTACCTATAATAAGTAAATGAGCTTTGACTGTACTTCTCCTTTAGGCTTTAAAGCCCGACTGTGGTATCCAAGTAACCTTTATAGGTTCCTCTTCATTTCCAGATGCTCAGGTCTAACTGTTGCTTAAATATAACTATGTAACAATGGCGAGGCAAAGCACCTTGTAGTCTATGCCTCCAAGCAGTGGTGGAGTTTGCCATTCCTTAACATGGACATCAGCGGAACCTGAGAGTAGAATGCTTCCAGTGGCACTATCCAGCCAGGTTCATGTTGTCCAGGTTACAGGACCACTTCATCAGCTCAGCTAACAGATGGTCAGTGAGCAACAGGCAGCATATGTTCCAGTAAGCACTGACATCGGCACAGATGGAGGGTGGGCGATGGGCTGGCCCTGAAACATAACCTGACATTTCCTCCTCCTTTGGTGCTTCATTGTTGCAGCTTACACAAGGAAGATTAGCAGGGAAAAGTGAATGGGAGGTATTAGTGACTTAACCAGACTGCAACACTGTTTACAACACAAAAGAAAGGCTGCCATTTGTATTTCACACTGTACAATGGCCTGGGACACCTTTACAGGGACACTAATTAGACATGGAGGCTTTCAATGGGTTTGTTTTTAACACAGTGGACAAATAAAAATTTAAGTTGATTGGTGGACCTATCAAGATACCGGAAGTACAAATCTGAAAGACACAAAACGCAAAGGTTCTTCTTTTCAATGTAAACCTCATGTTGTAAAGCGCTGCGCAAATTGTTGGTGCTATATAAATCCTGTATAATAATAATAATAATAATGTAAACTCTGTCAGTCTTCCTATGCAATATGTACATTTCTGGGTATAGTGTTCATACGCATTGGTATGTGACACTGCAGATAGAGGAAAAAAAAACATTTTATACTGCCTGGTGAAATATTTGCCAACCGGTCTTTTTCTGTTAAAACAGAATTGGTAATTAACTATGGTCACTGACATCTGATTCATGTTCCTTGATACCCTTACCGGGAAACAGTACATTTTTTATGGATCAAAATCATTTTATGTATCTTCGAGTTTTGTAACTGCATAGAATGCATCACCCCAAATGGGGGTCTTACGTTCTTTTTTTTTTTTTTTATATCAAAAGAGATGTTTATTGAGAAAAACAAACAGAATACAACATCGAAATAGTCAAATCACTTATTCGTACAATGCAGATAGTAGGCAGATCAACAGAGATCCAAGCTAACAGTACAATAAATCATTCTGTTTGAATAGTGCAAATAATAGAAATTACATAGATTTGTAGATGATATCATCACACAAAACTGATATATCATGAATTCGAGTGGTAAAACCAAGTCATGAGGCACCGCAGAGAACCAACAATGGCTATGAATGGTTGCTTCTTAACCACTAGGGGACCTCCCACAGTACATACTGTATACTGCGGCAAACCGGCCCTTGCGTGCAGGATCAGTTTATAAACATTATCCTGTTTACGGGGTAGGCGCGCGACCGCCGTACCCGCAGCACCGAACACGGCCGCGGGTGTCAATCGCCCGGGTCCCAGCTGGTGATTACCCGCCGGAGCCTGACGATTGCCGGCAAACACTGACAGGGAGCACAGCTGCATTGTTTTCAGTGGAGCTCTCCTCCTTGTCAGTTTTCAGCACACTGTTCCGAATTGCTGAGTTCAGCATTCCGAAACAGAGTGTAACAGTGAAGTACACATACCCCGCCCCCTAGGAAAACACTCCCCTCAAACAATTAACCCTTTGATTGCCTTTTAACGTTAACCGTCCTCCCCAGTGCCATTAATACAGTGTCAGTGCTTTTTTTTTTTGCACTGATCACTGTATTGGTGTCACTGGGATGTCAGTTCCCCCCCAGGGTCATAATGTCCGCCACAGTCCCGCCATAAGTCGCTGATTGCCTCCATAAGTCTCTGATCGCCGCTATTATTAGTATAAAAAAAAAAAATCCAGTATCTATACCGCCATCTGTAAACGCTATAACTTTCAAGTAAACCAATTAATTTACACGTATTGGGATTTTTTTTGCAAAGACATTTTGGCCGAAATTTATGACGAAAAAAAAAGAGGGGGGTCTTACATTCTTAGCAGATAAATTCTATGCATTGCTGTGTAATGGTGTATATTCAAATAAAGAAATTATTATTATTATTATACAGTATTTATATAGTGCCAACAGTTTGCTCAGCGCTGTACATTATAATGGGAGACAGTACACGAGACAGCACAGTAACAATACAATACAATACACGAGGGGTTCGAGGGCCCTGCTCCTTGGAGCTTACAATCTAGGAGGGAGGGGAGAGTGGTACAGGAGGAAATAGCTGTGGGGGATGGAGTGGTGGGAAGAGTGGAGGAGATCTGCAATTAGGTGAGGGCGGGGTAGGCTTCTCTGAAGAGATGGGTTTTCAGGGTGCGCCTAAAGGAGAGCAGGGTAGGTGACAGTCTAATGGATTGGGGTAGTGAGTGCCAGAGGATGGGGGAGCCCTGGAGAAGTCCTGGAGATGGGCATGGGAGGAGGAGACCAGGAAACTAGAAAGTAGGAGGTCTTGTGAGGAGAGTGCGTTTTGGGTGGTAGATGGATATCATTTCGGTGATGTAGTTTGGGGCAGTGTTATGAACAGCTTTGTACGTCAATGTTAGTAATTTGAATTTTATGCGTTGGGCAATCGGAAGCCAGTGGAGGGATTGCCAGAGGGGGGTGGCGGATACGGAGCGGTTAGTAAGGTAGATAAGTCTGGCCGCAGAATTCAGGATAGACTGAAGCGGGGATAGCCTGTGTTGAGGTAGGCCGGTGAGGAGGGAGTTACAGTAGTCAAGTCATGATATGATAAGGGAGTGAATGAGTTGCTTTGTAGTTTCTGGAGTTAGGAACGAACGTATTTTGGAGATGTTGCAGAGGTGGAGTCTTGATGAATGATTTTATTGAATTTAATGAATATTGTTGTAGTGCCTCTAAAGTCCTAATTCTGTCCTCTTTTCTTTGGTTGAACTACATTAGTTGTGGTAGGACGTGGCACTTGGAAGCCCTTTTTACATCCCCGCAGCCGTCACTCTGTGTGGATACTTCTTACTCTATTAGAATTGTTAATTATTCGACATACAAAAACCAAGGAGCAAATCATTAACTGTTAGGCTAGGTTCACCCTATTGCAGTTCCCTGTGGCCACGTTTGCATGGGCACAGCACCCCATTATTTGAACGTCCTGCTGTACCTGTGGGAAAAGCAGGGTAAAGGTCCCTGACCCTTTTCTATAACCTCAGCTGCACAAAAACCACATGGAGTTTTGGCATCATGTGTTCCCACGCACGGGAAAACATACCACGTTTTCCAATGTGTCGGAATGCCATTAAAAATGAATGACACCCCTGCGTGTCCGCTAGACAGCAGTGCGTTTGTGCTGTGATTGCCAGCAGGTGTAGGAACATATGCAATTTATATGCTTTTCTGCACCCAGAATAATGTGAAACTAGATTTAGACCTTGTTCACATGGGCATATTTAAGTGTACATCCATGCAAAGGGCCGTGTTTGCGCACACGGGGTGTATATGTTTTTTAAGCATGCAGGCAGTCACATTCATGTCTATTGTAACACAGCAGCCACTCCCAATTTGACATGTGTTTGGGTGGGGGTGCGTTTCCCTAAATGCATACAGTGTGAGTTCAGGTACACTAACCTTCACCCACACGGATGTCTAATTGGCAGCAGCATTTGCGTCCCAATTGACATGAACAGGACTGCCTGTGCATCCTGTGCGGGCAAGCAGATGTACACTTAAAGTGTTACTAAACCCAGGACTCTGCATTCACTATATCTGATTTCCCACAGTACACACAACATAGAAATGCAATTATATTAGTGACTATAAACTGCTAAATACCTTTTCTCTTCAGTAGTTAGAGCAGTCTTGTGGCTTCTATCAGTGTCCAACCGAGCACATGTTAAAGCTGTAGGAGGAGTTTTCATTTGCTTGTATACAGATCGAAATTCAGCAGGGACGAGCTGAATTTTGGTCTGTGTGACCCTACCTGTTTGATAGAAGTCAATCCTTAGATCGACGTCTGTCAAATGGCTATACTGGAAACGTTTGTCAATCAGTGGCTGCAGCAGCTGATCCTTGTCTTCTGACAGTGGTGAGTATTGATGTCAGAATACGATGTCCCTGCAAGGGAGATTCCTCTATCCACTTCCCTTGTGTGGATAGAGAAATCTATTTTTTCATTCAGCCCCTTGGATGAACAAAAAAAATAACCATCTATGACCAGCTTAAAGTGTTAGGACCCTGCATTCACTATATCTGGTCTCCCACAGTACATAAAACATGGAAATGCAATTATGTTAGTGAATATAAACTGCTAAATACCTTTTTTCTTCAGTAGTGTAGTTAGAGCAGTCTTGTGGCTTCTATCAGTGTCCAGCAGAGCACATGTTAAAGCTTGTAGGAGGAGTTTTCATTTTGCTCTAGGAGGATGCAGAACCCCCAACCTCTGTCTGGACAATGCTGATTGGCCCTATGCTGATCACATGCACTCTCCCAAGAAAAAAAAACCCTCTCTAGCAATACACACCAAACTGAGCATGTGCAGAGTGACTCCACATGATCAGGGGATAAGAGGGGGACAGTGGAAGAAGGGGAGGATCAGAGAAGTCAGGATCAAATAGCCTTTTTATACAATGCAGAGGAATGACCCCTTAGGATCCACAGTGAGTATAACAAGCATGCTTTACTGCATATACAGACTGATTTTACTGTTGTGGGTTTAGTAACATTTTAAGTACACCCATGTGAACGAGGCTTTAAATAGGGATACCTCTAACATGTGATGTGTACTGGACTCTCTGAAACATAGAAATAGAGAATATTTATTATCTAGCATTGAACAAAATACTAATGCTAGCTGGTTTTGGCAATGGGGTTTCAGCATCGAAATCATATATTAAAATAAAGTGTCCCTCTCACCCTCTACATATATAAAAAAAGTATCCCAATCACATGATTCATAACCTGACCCTTATAGTGACCCTTCTGATCAAACAATTCTTCATAGAATCAGATTACATGATCGAATCTATGAATTATTGACACCTAGTGTGCCATTAATAGATTTTGGGCCAAACTGATTGATTTCATCAAAATTATTCTGTTCGGTCTGGATGGAAAACCCAATAGTAGGAAAGTGCTGTAGGTAGATCAATATTGATCGTTCAGTGTATGGCACATTGGACATTCTTTTCAGTCTTCTAATTGTATTTTTCTCCTGGACAGTAAATCAATTTACCAGGACAACCATATATAAAATTGCTCTGTGTATGGCCATCATTAAGATACCTTTCCCACGTAGACCTCATTCACAGTGCTGTGGCATATATGGTGTGACTAGGCCATATGTTTATGCAGACCAGCAGCTGGGCATAGACAGATCGAAATTCACCAGACACGGGCTGAATTTTGGTCTATGTGTGACCATACCTGTTTGATAGAAGTCAATCCTTAGATCGACTTCTGTCAAATGGCTATACTGGAAACGTTTGTCAATCAGTGGCTGCAGCCTCTGATCCTTGCCTTCTGACAGTGATGAGTTTTGATGTCAGAATACAATGTCCCTGCAGGAGGGATTCCTCCATCCCTTGTGTGGATGGAGGAATCTGTTTTTTCATTCAGCCTCCTGGCTGAACAAAACAAATAACCATCTATGCCCAGCTTAAAGTGTTACTAAACCCAGGACCCTGCATTCACTATATCTGGCCTCCTACACTGCACACAACAAGGAAATGCAATTATTTTAGTAAATATAAACTGCTAAATACCTTTTCTCATCAGCAGTTAGAGCAGGCTTGTGGCTTATATCTGTGTCCAGCCCAGCACTAGCTAAAGCTTATAGGAGGAGAGTTTTATTTCTGCTCTAGGAGGATGCAGAATCCCTGACCTCTGCCTAGACAGTGCTGATTGGCCCTGTGCTTATCACATGCACTCTCCCAAGAACGAAAAAAAAAAAAAAAAACTCTCTAGCAATACACACCAAACTGAGCATGTACATGCCTACAGTTCAGTCTGGAGATAAGAGGTGGTCGCTTGAAAAAGGGGAGGAACAGAGAAAAAAGGATCAAACAGCCTTTTTACACAATGCAGAGGTTTAACCCCTTAGGTTCCACAGTGAGGATAACAAGCATGCTTTACTGCAGATGTAACAGCTGTGTGGACACATATCCTAATATAACAGGCATGCAGGGGCTGGGGAACTTCCTTGAACATAGACACTCACCCCTGCACACCTGCCCAATTAGGACGAGTGGTTGTGTCCATACAGTTGCTGCTTCTTATAGAGTTACATAGGCTGCCTGCACGCAGCTCCTGGAGGCTTTAGCCACAGTAACAAATGACCATGCTGTATCCGTATGGACCACAGTGTCCGTAAGAATGAGGCCTTGAAGGATATCTAAACAAGCACAAAATTGTAGTATATTGCTACTTGCCAGTCCTTAGAAGTGCTATCTGCTTTAGTTTCTGGCAAAATCTTTGGAAAGGACTGAAAATACCTGTTGATCATGCCAAAAATGCAGTGCTGTTGTTGCTTCCTGTGAATTGAACTGAAAGCACAAACAATGTTATCTTCTTTCTGTATATTACTAATCCCCTCACCCCCGTATACTGGAGATGAAGAGAGAAAGACATATTTTAAGTCCTCCCTGGGTGAAAACCAGGTCCGGACTGGCCACAGGGCACACTGGGCATTTTCCTGGTGGGCAGGGGCTTCTGAGCTGCATGTCCTTGTTGGGCTCAGAGCAGCTGCAGGCATCTTCCCAGTACCGCTATTTGCAGCCGACGATCAGATTTCTTGTAAGAGCAAGCAGAGTGGCTAACTAGCTGCTTAATCACCCCTCTCCTTCCGCCTTCTGTGGCTTTAATGGGAGCTCCCATCCCACCAGGCGTCCCGATCGACCAGTCAGCACTGCCACCAGCTGGTCACGGAGCCTAATCAGCTTTGTATGGCTCCATTAAATAGTAAAATGGAAGTGATCACTTCTGGTTTACTTAGAAACAATTGGCACAATTTTGCATTCACATCGATCTTGAATGCTTTTAGGGGGAGAGGAGGGATTTGGGGTCTTATTGACCCCAGATTCCTCCATAAAGAGTACCTGTCACTTCACTGCCTATCGCTGTCACAGGGGATGTTTCCTTGTGACAACAATAAAAGTGATGTTTTTTTTCTTTTTTAAATCAATGTGTCCCCCCCCCGTTCTTGTGCAAAGGTGAAGGCACGCATTAGTCCTGCATGCAAGCAAACAGCATATCACCGCAAAAGTCAGATCATGGGCAGTACTTCTAGCACCAGATCTCCTCCATAAATCTAAAGTGGTCACCTATAATCCTGTAATGTGGATCGTAAAATTTATGTTGTCATCGTTGCACAATTTTAAAGCATGACATGTTTGATATTTACAGTCAGGTCCATAAATATTGGGACATCAACACAATTCTAACATTTTTGGCTCTATGCACCACCATAATGGATTTGAAATGAAACGAACAAAGATGTGCTTTAACTGCAGACTGTCATCTTTAATTTGAGGGTATTTACATCCAAATCCGGTGAACGGTGTAGGAATTACAACAGTTTGCATATGTGCCTCCCACTTGTTAAGGGACCAAAAGTAATGGGACAATTGGCTTCTCAGCTGTTCCATGGCCAGGTGTGTGTTATTCCCTCATTATCCCAATTACAAGGAGCAGATAAAAGGTCCAGAGTTAATTTCAAGTGTGATATTTGCATTTGGAATCTGTTGCTGTCAACTCTCAAGGTGAGATTGATCCAAAGAGCTGTCACTATCAGTGAAGCAAGCCATCATTAGACTGAAAAAACAAAACAAACCCATCAGAGAGATAGCAAAAACATTAGGCGTGGCCAAAACAACTGTTTGGAACATTCTTAAAAAGAAGGAAAGCACTGGTGAGCTCAGCAACACCAAAAGACCCGGAAGACCACGGGAAAACAACTGTGGTGGATGACCGAAGAATTCTTTCCCTGGTGAAGAAAACACCCTTCACAACAGTTGGCCAGACCAAGAACACTCTCCAGGAGGTAGGTGTATGTGTGTCAAAGTCAACAATCAAGAGAAGACTTCACCAGAGTGAATACAGAGGGTTCACCACAAGATGGAAACCATTGGTGAGCCTCAAAAACAGGAAGGCCAGATTAGAGTTTGCCAAACAACATCTAAAAAAGCCTTCACAGTTCTGGAACAACATCCTATGGACAGATGAGACCAAGATCAACTTGTACCACAGTGAAGGGAAGAGAAGAGTATGGAGAAGGAAAGGAACTGCTCATGATCCTAAGCATATCACCTCATCAGTGAAGCATGGTGGTGGTAGTGTCATGGCGTGGGCATGTATGGCTGCCAATGGAACTGGTTCTCTTGTATTTATTGATGATGTGACTGCTGACAAAAGCAGCAGGATGAATTCTGAAGTGTTTTGGCCAATATTATCTGCTGATATTCAGCCAAATGCTTCAGAACTCATTGGACGCCGCTTCACAGTGCAGATGGACAAGGACCCAAAGCATACTGCAAAAGCAACCAAAGAGTTTTTTAAGGGAAAGAAGTGGAATGTTATGCAATGGCCAAGTCAATCACCTGACCTGAATCCGATTGAGCATGCATTTCACTTGCTGAAGACAAAACTGAAGGGAAAATGCCCCAAGAACAAGCAGGAACTGAAGACAGTTGCAGTAAAGGCCTGGCAGAGCATCACCAGGGATGAAACCCAGCGTCTGGTGATGTCTATGCGTTCCAGACTTCAGGCTGTAATTGACTGCAAAGGATTTGCAACCAAGTATTAAAAAGTGAAAGATTGATTTATAATTATTATTCTGTCCCATTACTTTTGGTCCCTTAACAAGTGGGAGGCACATATGCAAACAGTTGTAATTCCTACACCCGTTCACCTGATTTGGATGTAAATACCCTCATATTAAAGCTGATAGTCTGCAGTTAAAGCACATCTTGTTCATTTCATTTCAAATCCATTGTGGTGGTGTATAGAGCCAAAAATTTTAGATTTGTGTTGATGTCCCAATATTTATGGACCTTACTGTATTTACTGTATAATATCATCTTTTATAATTTACAAAAAAAATTGGGTAACGTATTCGGTTTTGTTTTTTGCACTAAAAATTTATTTTTCCCGAAAACATTGCATTTGAAAAACTGCTGCGCGAAACTCTCCATTTTATGCTCTAGGGCCTCTGCTTTAAAAAATATATATATAATGTTTGGGGGTTGTAAGTAATTTTCTAGCAAAAAAAAAAAACAGGCTAAATATAACTAAAAGACATTGAGAAACCATTAGTTGTAATTTGTAAAATGGGTTTTTAAAAAAAAATGGGCTGCTCAGTCTAAAATGCCCGGGCCTATTTTTTTTCCCAGTCCAGGCCGGGTGGCAACCATGGCTTCCTCCATGGAGCAGGTAATTCTTTATGGCAGTAGAAATGCTTTATGTTACCGCTGCCATAAATGCTTCTTCCCTGCCTGGTAGCAAGGTTCTTCTGCAGATGTGCAAAGTGGGTGGTGGGATAAAGTAAGGCTTGCCATATACGGGTATTTTTTTCATTCAGCCAACAGATGGAATGGATTGAGGAATCCCCCAACTGGGACATTATGTTCTGACTGTGGCACTTGGTGCCAGAATACACTGATCAGTGGCTGAGGGATCGCCATCCCTTTGAATTAAATACCTGACTTCTGTTGCTTGGGGGTGTCCTCACACTGATGAAAAATTGGGTGGTCCATGGTGGACAGGTCAAATTCCGATCAGTGTGTGGTCAGCTTATCTCCAGTGTGCAGAAGATAAAGGGGAAATAAACCTTTCTTTCCTTTATAGCAAGGAAGTGGCCATCTTAGCCTCTATTTGATCTGCATTTGCCATGGTGGTGCACATGTGATCAGTTATGATGGCAGCACTTTGATGGCATGATAGTTTGGTTGATAGCAAAGCAACCATGACATTTATCATTTTTCATGGCATGCCTTGAATGTAACTTAAATTGCTGGGTTTAGTTACGATTTAAAGTGTAATCCCGTCAAAATCTATCTAAGGTTAAATCTATTCCCACCCCAATTCTAAAACGATTCCATCTAACCTTTGAAATAAAAGATGCCTATACTTACATATGCTGAAGTGGCTCCGGTCTGGCCACATAGTTGGGTCCCAGCGCCAACTTCAGTGTAGAGGAGAGGCAATGACATCAGCTGCAGAGCCTATGAGGTGACATCACCTATGGGCTTACTATGGGGCATCCATTGTTGGCTATCCTTCATTTACACTGAAGCCGGTGTTGGGACCCAATCATGTGACCAGACCAAGTGGCTTCACCATAGGTAAATATAGACAGGGTAGAGAGAATAGGCATAGAATGGGGGAGGATGTTGATTTAGCCATAGTTAGAATTTGAATGGAATTACACTTTAAGTTATTCCTGGCTAGCCTGTCAAGACAACTGAAGATTTCAGACCTGGAAGAAGACTGGAAGAGATGTCAACAATATTGGTGGGGTGATGAGGGAAAGGGAACAGAGATCGGTGAGGGAACTGTGTAAGGTGAGTCTGACATAATGTGCAAATATGATCAGCATATTTGCACTTTATGGCAAGAGCCCTGGGTTCCTAAAAATTTTGTTCCACCCTAACTATGATGTGAGGGCTCACTGGCCAAGTTTCTTGGCCTGAGCTCTTGAAAACAGGACCTGAATAATACTTGTACACTAGAATACACTACTATTGAAATGGGTTTTTGACTCTTGGAGTGCTCCACATGGTATGACAGCAGGCATGGCGACATTTTGTGATGCTTTCCATTCCAATACCTCCTTCCTGTTCATAGAGTCAACTTAACAAGAAACTTT